TAATGTGACTAGTGAGGGAGTCAAAGTGTTTCCATACGCCATGATGGACACGGACGTCAACATGGTCGTGCCTGGCCAACCTTGAAATTGACCGTAACTGCGCCATGCTAGACTTGCACAACTCTCTAAGGCAATAATTATTAATTGAATAATAAGTTCTAGAAAATACTACGAACAAGTTGTCCCTATAAGAGACTGAAGTTGACTGTTGACTGTTGGCTGACTGTCCACATATCTAGACTTGCCTTTCGGGAGGATAGAATTACTACACATCCATGGACTTATCTTTCTGTACAGCCTTGGAGCAAGACTAAGGCCTTGCGGGCGGCACCTAGTACTCCATTCCTTAGGTTAACTAGAGCAGCCTTAATCTTTATCTTTAGCTGCGGCATACCAAACTACGCTAATATCCCAGCTATATGATGGCGGTCTGGAAATAATCGAGTCTGGACCAGATAATCCAGTGATTGATATCATGAGCATCGATCTACGTGATTTGTATACGACGACATGCCTCAACTTAGTCAGTGAGCCTGACCACCTGATCCCATTAATCGATGATAAGCATAGTCGCCTTTTACGGCAAGTTGAAGTTACTAGGAAGTCTAAATGAGGAAAGTGTGGAAACTAGCCACGCTACTTGCAGTGAAGTTTGTCCACATATATAGTTACTGGATGCTGCTGCATTATTTGTACAATTAATAATTGATAAAGATGCCTTCGTTGTTTCATTGTTTAAAAACAACACTTCTGGGCTCAACCCAATACATTTGCTACACTACCTCTGACAGACCGATCTGAGTTGTCAGAGTGGTAATGTAACCGATGTAGTGCGGAGTAAACTAAGATCCAAGACACTGGTTACAGGGTGAGAACGTTTTATTCCCGGTGTCTGATAACACCCCCTGAAACAATATAACATTCAATAAATACAGCGTCATACAATATACTTGAGGCTTCAAAACCGTCCATTACACAAATTAGGTGAAATGTTAATGACAGATAATATGACATTTAACAACAAAGGGCGATAACTCCTTGATTAACTCATTCATTCAAACTAAATATGTATGGTACAGACATAGACGTCTTAATGCAATACGCATGTCAAATGAAGTAGATGTGATACTCAGTATCTCATAAACAATAAAGATGTTAGCGCCGCCAAGCCAGAAATCCCAAGCGTACCTAAGCGTAAGCAATATACAACATTAACTCTGTTGGCGCCCAACGTGAGGCTGAGCACGTTCATATCAATTTGAGCAAAATAAGTCTCAGTACCCTACTATGCGGCCCGGGACGTGCCTTCTGTTGATAGGGGAGTATGTAGCAGGGCGTGGAGTCATCCCACAGATGACATCCTTTCCTTGTCAGCTTGTTGACGGGGTTAACCACTTTGGTCATGTGGACAAGGCGTCCGACCTCGAATCAGAAGGTCCGTGGTTCGAATCCCATCACGGGAATGTGAAATTTTATGGCCCCTACAGTAACAGACTAACAGTTTTTATCACATAATGGGTAGTGTAAAGATGCGATAACCCACCAAAAATAAATGTGGTTTACCATAAAAAACAATGCAAATGAGGTTACCCAGCATGAACTTCCTATTAATAAGCTATATACGTCGATGCGAAGCCGTCTTGCTTAGTACACTATTGTCTGACGTTACCAATGCATTTCGATGGGGCTTTTCCAATGTGTTGGTGGTTTGTAAACTAGCATTGCTGCCTCGGAAACAACCATTTGCGATACCATCAGACTTGAAGATCGTGGAGTTGGTAAAAGTCATTGCAGTGATAGATCTTGGAAGAAATAAGATATGGTTCATTGTTCAGATAGACGAAACATAATTATGAAGCTCGTGTTCCCCTATCTAGCTCTACCTAAGCTGAGCAGACGAATTCTCGTTTCAGGATAATTTTATCAACGGCTTTATTATAATAAACGCAAACAATGCCAGAATGAGCTCTCAGCAACATTCCTTTATTTTAAACATATATTGAATCTCAAAAAGAAAACAGAAACATTCAGTATACTCCAGTAGACGAATGTTCTCCTACCCTGTCAAAGTTGTTGATCAGCGTTACAAAGAAAGACTACAAACTTGCAACTTTCAGATCCCCCATTTTAAGTACTGGTCGCTGTTTGGAGAGACATTGTCTATAGGCGATTGCCTTTTATTATTTTGCTGAATTTGCAGACGTTTGAGAGGTATTGAAATCTGGACAAATTGAACTAACGAAACAGGGGAAAGGCAAATTACTACATCGAAGTGAATCTATATTGTGAAGGACTAGATGTCATGTGGGAAAACCAACAACTTCGATCCTAAAACCCTCGATCACCAATTCGTTGTTGTTTCTGGTGGTGACGTGCACAGGACAATGTTTACTCGGAGAAAAAATCGAAAGAAGATTATTCCAATTGTGTCGAATAATTCAGTTTCAATAAGAAAGAATCCCAAATACGTCCAGGCGATGCCGGAAATGTAACACATGGGCCAGTCGGGAAAAGCACCGTCTACAGAGTGTACTGATCCACACGTCCTCTCGTTATTTTGATCTGGATGATCCCTCTTACACCGCCACAAACACAGTAACAAGTCCAATCCAATTCACTGATAACGTCACGTGGTTCCGTCGCCAACCAATTGGCGAAAAGACACTCAAATCACTCATGAAAATAATGTGCGCTGCTACGAACACACAATCATCGAAGCGTCTCACAAATCACAGTGCGGGGAAATTCATTGCCCAAAAACTGTCCGATAGCGCAGTACCTCCAACGGCAATAACACAGAGCGCCGCGCACAAAACCAACTCCAGCAACAATAATGTGTCTCCACACCCGGAAAGTTCAATATTATTGTTCAATAAGATTTCTATTTCAATTATGAATTTGTTTTCTTTTACCTACAAACAACAGGCTTATAGATCCTTGACCTTACAAAGGACATCTTTCATAGGCATTTAGAAGTTGGAGTACTAAGTAAGGTTACGAATTTATGGATGGACAACTTCTTTATTACAATTAAGAGCGACGTTTCGGTGTAGCTTCTAACACCATTATCAAGACTTCAGAGAGCACAATCTCTCCTGGACAGCCTGTTAATTCAATAAACCTTATCGGCCAACGTGTGTTTTTAAACATGGGGGAACAACGAATAGCAAACCAACAACTATATCCATACTGTAGATGTAAGTATCAAAATAAAGTGCAGAACATAAGCTACTCAACGGTAGTCACAGATTTACAACAAGCTATGTGCCTTAATACCATGAGTCTATATATACATTCTCCTAATGTTTTAAAATCATAGTTACAAAAACATTTGCAACACATGAATAGCTAATATATAGAAAATAACATACATCAAGTCAATACATGGTAAGAGTTAAATCACAAGAGAATGAAATAGTCGGGTCACTCATACCCTGACACAAAAACCGATGACACGGTACAACGACGGCCGCCGGACTTTGACGAGAAGTGTCGTAAATAAGCGAGAGAGCGGTGCGGTCATTTGTTTATTGACCCGGTGACACATGCCAACATCGGATGCAGTATTACCGTCATTTCATCACGCACGCACGCACGCACGCACGCACGCACGCACGCACGCACGCACACTATTACCGTAACCTTGGACAAGAAGGGCTTACGACGCACTCAATTTACGTTTTCAACTTTTCCTTTGTTTTGCCTCAATGAGCCGTCATAACCAGTGCTGCTCAGCGGGTCGTCGTGTATAGTTATGAACAGTGACACCGTCAGTGATTGGAGGAGTGTGCACGTCGACAAAAGTATACATTAGCGTCAGGGTAAGAGTTAAAGAAGGTGACTAAATGTAATCTTAGGTGTATTCTGCTTTGAGAGAGGGCATGTGCACTTGCACGTATAAATAATAAAATATCTGATGACAATACTTGACAGTGATATGGATAATTATGGCACTCTTACATTACATTCTTACCGTGTCAACGTTCTCACGTAGTTCGCCAGAACAGGCGACATTGTTAGTCGTCTCGTGAAACTGGGTAGTTAAAATAGGTTCTGTAAATATTAGAACGTGAGTATTGTCGCCATCGTTGGAAACCATCTCGTCCAGGACAATGTCACCAATGTTTGTTTGTCTGTTTGTTTGTTTGTTTAATGTTAAACGCCGCACTCAGCAATATTCCAACAACAGTATATGACGGCGGTCTGTAAATAATCGAAGATGGACCAGACAATCCAGTGATTGACATCATGAGCATCGAACCACGCCATAGAGATACGATGACATGCATCAACCAATAAAGCGAGCCTGACCACCCGATCCCTTTAGTCGCCTCTTACGACAAGCCCATCAATGAAGCAGATTGAGATGATCTTGCACCTGTGCTAATTCGTCCCCAATTCGAGACTAACTACTTCCTGGTTTTTAGCTACTTCCTTTTTTAAGCGGATTCGAGTCTGGGTGATGGCATCTTGTGTGATGCGATTGAGCGTGACACGGCATACAACACATATATGATAGGCTCTGAACAAGCTGATCTGACTTTTAAAATAGCACGGTCAGCAAACATGTCCTACCCTCAATTACAAATCTAAACCGAACTTTAGAATCCATGTCTGTATGCTTGGTCGTTATAAGATTCTTGCACATTCTGTTTCCTAACAGGGAACGTAGACGACACTTGACCGAGTCTGTGTAAGCACCGACCTAATACTACTACTACTACTACTACTACTACTACTACTACTACTACTACTAATAATAATAATAATAATAATAATAATAATAATAATAATAATAAATGTAGATCATGTAATGAATTTAATGAGACTGTCCAACGCATTGTAAGTGGATGCCCAGCTTTGGCACACACAGAATCTTAAACGACATGGTGGTGTAGCTCCATCATTATATTACCGTCTTCGCCATGCTTGTGGTTTTGACACAGAGGTCCACCCATGGCACGACCCGGAATGTGTAGATACATGTGTTAATACAAAATTCATTGGAACAGGTCCGTAGACTGGGGTAGGTGAGAGGCTGGCATGGACTTGGTGTGGGATGCTGACTGGGGTAGATGAAATGCTGGCATGGACTTGGTGTGGGATGCTGACTGGGGTAGATGAAATGCTGGCAGGGACTTGGTGTGGGATGCTGACTGGGGTAGGTGAGATGCTGGCATGGACTTGGTATGGGATGTTGACTGGGGTAGATGAGATGCTGGCATGGACTTGGTGTGGGATGCTGACTGGGGTAGGTGAGATGCTGGCATGGACTTGGTGTGGGGTGTTGACTGTGGTAAGTGAGGGGCTTGCATGGACTTGGTGTAGGGTGTTGACTTGGGTAGGTGAGCGGCTGTCATGGACTTGGTGACGGATGCTGACTGGGGTAGGTGAGAGGCTGGCATGGACTTGGTGTGGGGTGTTGACTGTGGTAGGTGAGGGGCTAGCATGGACTTGGTGTGGGATGTTGACTGGGGTAGGTGAGATGCTGGCATGGACTTGGTGTGGGATGTTGACTGTGGTAGGTGAGGGAGTTGTTGTTGACTTGGTGTGGGATGTTGACTGTAGTAGGTGAGGGGCTAGCATGGACTTGGTGTGGGATGTTGACTGTGGTAGGTGAGGGGCTAGCATGGACTTGGTATGGGATGTTGACTGTGGTAGGTGAGATGCTGGCATGGACTTGGTGTGGGATGTTGACTGGGGTAGGTGAGGGGCTAGCATGGACTTGGTGTGGGATGTTGACTAAGGTAGGTGAGATGCTGGCATGGACTTAGTGTGGGATGTTGACTGGGGTAGATGAGGGGCTAGCATGGACTTGGTGTGGGATGTTGACTGGGGTAGGTGAAGGGCTGGCATGGACTTGGTGTGGGATGTTGACTGTGGTAGGTGAGAGGCTGGCATGGACTTGGTGTGGGATGTTGACTGGGGTAGGTGAGATGCTGGCATGGACTTGGTGTGGGGTGTTGACTGTAGTAGGTGAGAGGCTAGCATGGACTTGGTGTGGGATGTTGACTGTGGTAGGTGAGAGGCTGGCATGGACTTGGTGTGGGATGTTGACTGGGGTAGATGAGATGCTGGCATGGACTTGGTATGGGATGTTGACTGTAGTAGGTGAGGGGCTAGCATGGACTTGGTGTGGGATGTTGACTGGGGTAGGTGAGAGGCTAGCATGGACTTGGTGTGGGATGTTGACTGTGGTAGATGAGATGCTGGCATGGACTTGGTGTGGGATGTTGACTGTGGTAGATGAGATGCTGGCATGGACTTGGTGTGGGATGTTGACTGGGGTAGGTGAGAGGCTGGCATGGACTTGGTGTGGGATGTTGACAGTGGTAGGTGAGAGGCTGGCATGGACTTGGTGTGGGGTGTTGACTGGGGTAGGTGAGATGCTGACATGGACTTGGTGTGGGATGTTGACAGTGGTAGGTGAGAGGCTGGCATGGACTTGGTGTGGGGTGTTGACTGGGGTAGGTGAGAGGCTAGCATGGACTTGGTGTGTGTTGTTGACTGTGGTAGGTGAGATGCTGGCATGGACTTGGTGTGGGATGCTGACTGGGGTAGGTGAGATGCTGCCATGGACTTGGTGTGGGATGTTGACTGTGGTAGGTGAGGGGCTAGCATGGATTTGGAATCGGTGTTTTCTTTCTGGGGTTCCTTGGCTTTCCGAATGGTTTTATCATGTGCTTCGAAGCCACGGAAGGATATGAAGATGTGTTTAAGGGGATGGATTCCTTTACTGAGGCTGCCGGAGGCTATGGTTTGTCGGGGAAGTGTTTCAATTATGTCTCGTTTGATCGGTGGGTGGTGGATGGACATATAGTGAATACAGTACAGCCTGGCTACATACATCTATGTCTTGTACAGCGTGGCTACATACATCTATATCGTGTACAGCGTGGCTGCATACATCTATGTCTTGTACAGCGTGGCTACATACATCTATATCTTGTACAGCATGACTACATACATATATGTCTTGTACAGCGTGGCTACATACATCTATGTCTTGTACAGCGTGGCTACATACATCTATGTCTTGTACAGCGTGGCTACATACATCTATGCTGTGTTCCGTAGTGAAACATTACAGCGTGGCTACATACATCCATGCCGTGTTCTGTAGTGAAACATTACACTTGTACAGCGTAGCTACATACATCTATGTTGTGTTCCGTAGTGAAACATTACAGCGTGGCTACATACATCTATGTCTTGTTCTTTACTGAAACATTACACTTGTACAGCGTAGCTATAAACATCTATATCTTGTACAGCATGGCTACATACATATATAGCTTGTACAGCGTGGCTACATACAGCTATGTCTTGTACAGTGTGGCTACATACATCGATGTCTTGTACAGCGTGGCTACATACATCGATGTCGTTTTCTGTAGTGAAACATTACACTTGTACAGCGTGACTACATACATCTATGTCTTGTACAGCGTGACTACATACATCTATGCTGTGTTCCGTAGTGAAACATTACAGCGTGGCTACATACATCCATGCCGTGTTCTGTAGTGAAACATTACACTTGTACAGCGTAGCTACATACATCTATGTTGTGTTCTGTAGTGAAACATTACAGCGTGGCTACATACATCCATCCCGTGTTCTGTAGTGAAACATTACACTTGTACAGCGTGGCTACATACATCGATGTCGTGTTCTGTAGTGAAATATTGTACTTGTACATCGTGGCTACATACATCTATGCCGTTTTCCGTTGTGAAACAATACAGCGTGGCTACATACATCTATGTTGCCTTCCGTAGTGAAACATTACACTTGTACAGCGTGGCTACATACATCTATGTCTTGTACAGCGTGGCTACATACATCTATGTCTTGTACAGCGTGGCTACATACATCTATGTTGTGTTCCGTTGTGAAACATTACACTTGTACAGCGTGGCTACATACATCTATGTCTTGTACAGCGTGGCTACATACGTATATGTCTTGTACAGCGTGGCGACATACATCGATGTCTTGTACAGCGCATCTTCCCGAGGCAAGAGAGTTAACTGACAAGTCCAGTTTCTACCCTTGCCGAACTAGGCTGGATTTCCTGGGCTCGATCGTAGCGCCACCACTGGCTATTAGGAGTTATGTTCCATGCCTCTCCTATGGACCAATCAGATTCAACCTCTTGTATCACTTCCATTTGCTTCAAACAAAAAGGTGGCGCCCAGTCAAGACGATCTGATCGATAATCAAGATCTATATTGTGATAAAACGAGTCTTACATCGCGAAGTGCATCAAATCGCGTGGGTACCTTGATTAGCGGTATATGGTCTCTGGCGGTGCACATGCTTCGCAAATCCTGCAGTCGACCGAAATCTGCATGACACTTTACGAACCGGATTTCGATTTCGGTGCGCGATATTGAATGGACTTTGCATAGACTGGTTGGTCCAGCCAAAATGTAACTCTATAAAACCTGCCTAGTTCGGCAAGGGTGGCCCATGGGAACTGGACTTTTATAGTCAGTTAACTCACTTGCCTCGGGAAGATGTGTACAGCGTGGCTACATACATCTATGTCTTCTACAGCGTTTACATCTGTGTCTTGTACAGCGTGGCTACATACATCTATGTCTTCTACAGCGTTTACATCTGTGTCTTGTACAGCGTGGCTACATACATCTATGTCTTCTACAGCGTGGCTACATACATCTATGTCTTCTACAGCGTTTACATCTATGTCTTCTACAGCGTTTACATCTATGTCTTCTACAGCGTTTACATCTATGTCTTCTACAGCGTTTACATCTGTGTCTTCTACAGCGTTTACATCTGTGTCTTCTACAGTGTTTACATCTGTGTCTTGTACAGCGTGGCTACATACATCTATGTCTTCTACAGCGTTTACATCTGTGTCTTGTACAGCGTGGCTACATACATCTATGTCTTCTACAGCGTGGCTACATACATCTATGTCTTCTACAGCGTTTACATCTATGTCTTCTACAGCGTTTACATCTATGTCTTCTACAGCGTTTACATCTATGTCTTCTACAGCGTTTACATCTGTGTCTTCTACAGCGTTTACATCTGTGTCTTCTACAGCGTTTACATCTGTGTCTTATACAGCATGCCTTCCTCGATAACGAGAAAGGCTGCGATCGTGTTTGGCTTGAAGGCCTCTTCTACAAATATTACATAAATTTGGTATCAATGGTAAATTATGGAGAATTCTACGTCTATCGTACAATTCTATGTACACATGTGTTAGCTTTGCCGGCTACAAATCTGAAGTTTTCCCTGTTAAACAGGGTGTAGGTGGGGGTCGTGTCATATCAGCGTGGCTCTTTACTCTTTATATCAACGATTTCTTTCATGAACTAAGCAATTCCGGTTGTGGACTATGTCGCCAATGGGGACGATGCCCAGGAATACTGTTAGCAGACGACACGACCTTGATCAGCTGTAACACAACAGGTCTTCAAATGCTCCTAAACGTTGCAGAAAATTATGTTAACAAGTGGCAGTTAAAATACAATGTGTTCAAAAGTGCTGTCCTAACTTTTGGATGTAGTAAAATAACAGTATCGCCTGAACATCTTTACATTGGTAAGATAAAATTACCTGTTCAAAAGGCAATTTTCTGTACAGAAGTACTGCTAAAACTTCGGTTGAAAGAACGAGGTTAGTATGTGAAAAACTGAGAAAATTGATAAATGTAAACCATGATTCTGGTTTTTACTTTGGTGGACTTAATGCTATAGCCGCCGTGCGCATCTGGCAACGAGTGATATTATCCTGTGGCTTATATGGATGTAATGTTAAAGAGTAGGGAAAACTTTCCTCAAAGGGATATAAAATGCTAGAAATCACTCAACGCTGTTTCTTTAAGAAAATCCAGGTTTTAATAAGCGTATGCCCAAAGAAATAGAGAGAGACACAATTGGTGTTATATCAGTACAAGGATACATTGATCAACAAAAGCTTTTGCTCCTTGGTAAGCCATGTAATTCAAACCCGACTTGGACAGTTTAGATATACAACAACACTAGTTAATAAGAATAAGTGGGACACCAAATATATTTTATCTGACTAGGTTAATGATTATATAATGTGTTCAAATTTCATCAAGAAACAATAATGTCAAAACTGGTGAAAGAAAAGATTCACCTACACGAAAAACAATTACTAAACAATGCGCTTCTGGGCAGATTATCTCTGTCAAGATATCTAACAATACGATCTGGATGAGAACATAGGTTATGGAAACTACGGACCAGCATATTTTACTTTCTCAGCTAGACTAGTTCGCTTAGGTTCAATGCCAAGATAATCAAAGGAATGTATTTGTGGAATAGTTGCGAATGATATTATGAAACACGTTTTCATGTTATGTCAAAATAATTTAGAAGAAAGAAATATTATATTTGATAAAATCATTGATATGCTTGATGTTAAGATATTTGTGAGAATCTGGACAGACGATGATATCTTACTGTCATTTCTGCTTGGCGGTTTACCT